GCACTACAGATCCAAACAGACCAGCATCGTTTTACAACCAGATAGAGGAAATGCTAAACTGTGGCCCCGTTCACACGAGGTGTTTTGGGCCGGGAGTGGGCCAGATTGGAGACGGAACAAACGGGCGCGATCCCACGCCAACATCTGGCTGGCGTTGTGCTCCCGTCTCCGATCTGGCCCTTCCCTTGATGCGGCGCATCAAAAGTGAACCACCTACCGAGGTGGTTCATCTGGATGACGCGCCGCAAGCCGGGCTGTCGGATCGCCGGCGCGTCTTTGCGCTGGCTCATCCCCGGCTCCTAGCCGAACTGCGCATGCTCCGACATGCGCAGTTCGGCAGGCTCCCCGTCTGAACTGTGTTTTCTCCCCGGCATCTGATCGTGCCGGGAAGAAAAGGCGCCGCAGCCCAGGGGATCGTGGAATCCCGCTGTGGCGTCTCAACTTTGGCGTGGCTTTTAAAAGCCGCGCTTTGAGCGACTTATTCCCTGCCGTGTGGCAGGGGCCTATGTAGCTCAAGTATCTGGGAAGAATGAACTGCCTTTTACTACTTCTAGATGTTTATTTCAATCTTATAAAAATTCTAGAGAAATCCTATGCACTAAGCTTTCAGTCTATTGATTCTAACCCTACTGATTTCAGTTGGTTTAGACTGAAGTAACTCGAAAGACTGCAGAGCTTTATCCATTTCCCCCCCTGCAAATACTGTTTTCCTAGTCCTCATACCAAGTTGGGAGTCCAGTGGCACCTTTAAGATCACCAAAGTTTAACTCTGGGTAAAAGCTTTTGCATGCACACAAATGTTTATACCCAGAATTAAACTTTGGTGGTGCCACTGGACTCAAACTTGGTTCTACTGCTTCGGATCAACACAGCTACCCATGTGAACCTAGTTCTCAAAGTTATGAATAAAAATGTACTCTTCATTCACTTCTTCCTCTAAAAACACTTTCCAATATACATTTTATTAACAATGGTGCAACTGAGAACAGCACACTTGCACTATGAAGTATGGAATAATGAATGACTACATTTATGAGCTATTAATAGCAACACAGAATTTTGCAGGGAAATGGTAGCACAAAGCGCTTTTGTCAGTGCTTTCTCATTGAGAAGGCAGCCCTCTGCTGGTTCTTTGGTAACACCGCATGAACATTTCTACACTCTCCAAGCACCTGTGATCAGAACAGAACCCATAGTGATTTTACACACAGCCCACCCACAAACAGCCTTTTGTCCCATCTTATTGCACAAATGCACCTGTGCAAATGGACACACACAAGTGTAAGTGAAACTATATCGAGATTATTTCAACCCAAAGGTGTGAAGAAGAGTATTATGCAATCTCAAGCAGAGTTACTCCAGTCTAAACCCATTCATTTCTCTCTCTCTCTTTTAATTTTATGACAACAGTGGGAGTACAGAAAAGGGAAAAAAGAAAAAAGGGTGATACAACATAATTACATTTGTCAATACACTCATGTAGTTCAAAATGTATATGACAACAGTGGGAGTACAGAAAAGGGAAAAAAGAAAAAAGGGTGATACAACATAATTACATTTGTCAATACACTCATGTAGTTCAAAATGTATAGGACACAGAATATTTCCCATTTCATCCCCTTCATTATACTTTTTAAGGTATTATCTATAAAACACAATAGTTCTTATTTCTGTTGGGGTACAATTGTATTCATCATTTAAGTTTTAAGTTACAAACTTCATAACTAATCTATTTTAACTACAACACTGGTTTCATCATTACTACGTATTCAATATAACATATTTTGCCACTACTACATATTCTTCATCATCATCATCATCATTATTAATAATAATCATCATCTTTATTGCATTAGCAAGAAACATATTAATTAAAGTCTTTAATAAATAAATAGTATATCACACTGTAAAAGAAGGTCTATTATTATCAGGCCTCGGATGGGGCTGGAGCGCCCCAGAGTGGTGCTCCGGGAGTGACGCGTCCAGGGGGCGGGCACATGATGAAGTCTCGCCCCATGCGTCCAGTTGCCCTCATTTCGCCGCAAGAGGAGGAAGAAGCAGGATGGTGAGTAGGCTTCCTGCCCGCCCCTGGCTACCTCTGGCCACTCCACATGGCCCTCCCTGCCCCATCCTCAATCTTCCCCAGAGCCGCGTGCCCCGGGAAAGATCGACGCCCCCGCCCCCATCCCTGCCTCATCCGGGCCGCCCGGGCCGCCCTGGATGAGGCCCCACCCCCGTCTTGTCCGGGTCGCCTGGAGTGGCCTGGATGAGGCCCTTGTCCCTGTCCCTACCTCGTCTGGGTTGCCTGAAGCAACCTGGATGAGGCCCCCATCCCCATCTCTGCCTCATCTGGGCCGCCTGGAGTGGCCGGGATGAGGCCCTCATCCCCGTCCCTGCCTCGTCCTGCCTGAGGGCCCCTGGTATTTTTTGCCGATGTGTCACAGTGTGTTGGACCGGATGGGCCACTGGCCTGATCCAGCATGGCTTTTCTTATGTTCTTATCTCTGGTGCAGTGATGCTCTGCATTCTTGGTGCTTGGGGGGCAAGAGTGGGAGGGCTTCTGGGGTCCGGCCCCGCTGGTGGACCTCCTGAGGGCCCCTGGTATTTTTGGCCTATGTATGACACAGTGTGTTGGATTGGATGGGCCACTAGCCTGATCCAGCATGGCTTCTCTAATGTTCTTATCTCTGGCGCAGTGATGCTCTGCATTCTTGGTGCTTGGGGGGCAAGAGTGGGAGGGCTCCTGGAGTTCTGGCCCTGCTGGTGGACCTTCTGATGGCCCCTGGGTTTTGTCCAGTGTTCCCTCTAAGTGCAAGCTAGCTAACAGGTTTTTTTGCCTCTGGCTCATACATTTTTGTCTTACTTCGGGAAAGATGCCTCCAGAGCAAACGAATTTATGCAGTAGCCAAATCGCTCGCTCACAACTTGAATGCCAGTCGCTCACAAAGCAGAACTTTTGCTCACAAGACTCCG